TCAATTTGTGTTAGCCCAAGAGAGATTCTGGAAATCAAACCCCAACTCAGTGGTGGCTTGTTTCAGATGAGGTAATGAGGTCGGACCCCAGCTTGAAAGGGCTCATTCGAGACTTGATATAAGGGAAGCAGAACTTGCTAGCTTCTTCAGAAGGAGACATGACACAGACGGCTTCCTACTTTGCCTTAAGTAGTGTTAATTCCAAGATTATTAGATACCATGTTCAAGAGGAAGCACAGAAATAAACTCCAAAAAGTAAAACACAAGCACGGGTAGTGTTCACCAGTGCTCTGCATTTGCTCTGCCCTCTGCTCCCTCTGAACACCCCAGTTGCATATAAAAAAATTAGTTTCACAACATGCTTGTGCTTTGTTTTTTTCAGAACTTCATCTTTATGCTCCAAATAAAAGATGGTTGAATCTTCTGAGAATAAGAAAGAAGAAGGAAAAAAAAAAAGAGGGAAGGATCATCTTTGATCATGCCATGAGTTGATTCCAAAATGTAGAAAAAGGTAAAGAGACTTGATCACAATGACTGTGTGTGAAACAGTGGATGTTATAAGGAGACAATTTGGCTCTTGGTAAAGAGGCAATTTGTACCCTACATTATTCCCCCTTTCATTTAGAAATGGCTGTCGTTTCCCATCATGGTAAGGGCTGGGCTGTGTTTCTTCCAGCAAATGCTCTGCTAGCTGACAGAGACCATGGAGCTGTGAAAACAGAAATGGAGGGGGAAATGCTGGTAAAGGAGTTACTTGAGGCAACATGATCTCAGGCTACAAACAGAAGAATTAACTGCTGACACTGACCCACAGGGAAGAGCTAATATCTAGAACAGGATCAATATGTTTTAGTTCCTCTTCCTCTAATTTTTTTGGAAGTCAAAGATCTTTGGACAGAGAACGTGACAAAGACTTCAAAACACTACTATTGAGTTCCTCACTCTAGATCTTCAGTAACAGACAACTGTACTGGGGGCATAGAGGTGGCCAGAATGCACAAAATCAGGCTCCTCTGTAATTTACAGAGTGGCTCGTGCTTCCCTCTGCTGTCCTGCAGTCAAGGCCAAAAAGAAAAAAGAAAAAAAAAAAAGGATTTCTTTCAGTATGAAGGCATAAAAGTCCTAAAGGCCTAGGGGAAGCTCATGTCCACACTTTTGAAAATGACTCTGTGAAAATGGGGGCTGGGGAGCAGGATGGCAGACAAGCAAGCTCTTCGGGCTATGTGTCCAATGCCACTGAGATGCAAATTTCACTACGAAAAGAGGAGTGGAAGGAGCTGAGAGCTCAGAGGGCCAGATGAAGTGCCAGAGGCCCCTGACAATCTCGGCTGCTCAGATTAGGATCCCCCACTAGAACTGGTCCCCTTCTGGCAGGGCCAGGGAGGCTGTATCTGCAACAAGAGAGCTGGAAAAGATATGTTGGTGACCCAGGAATCTGTACTGCCAGCTTCTGCACTCGCCTTTCAATGACAGTTCCGAACCCTGGGCCAGTGGCTGGGACACATGACAGCTGTTAAGGACACAAAGAATGACACAGGCACGCAACTGACATCAGGGTAAAGATACATTGTGCACACAGAGTTAGAGCCAATTCCAAAGCATCTGGCGGTGGTGTGCCACCATGCTGTTCACTGCAGAGGTGACAACGCAAGAACCAGTGGACAAGCGAGACACGTTCTGAATCTTAGATGTTCTAGTTAGAAGTTACTACAGTTAATTAGGCACAGATGTTTAGTGTTTTTAATGATCTCTGTTTTAAGATGTTTTCCGTGGATGTTTATTGGTGTCATATGATAAACAGTAAAAATCGAGTAAGTCACCCTAAAGATAACAGTCTTTACTGGTTCAGAGTAAGAGAAAAATCGTATTCTCCTGTTACTGTTCGAGAAGCATGTGTCATGCACTGGTGGTCAACAACGTCCTTTGTTAGGCCTGCTGCATGTGTGTGGTCTCTGTAGCTGGAGATCAGGTCCCCGGTCTCAACTTTTCAGGAAAAAAGGCTTGATGTTTTAGTTTCGATGAAAAGTTTGAATTTTAATGTCTTGCTCTTAATGGCTCAAAACTGGAAGAAGCCAGAGTGGAAAAAGTTATTCATGATCCTTTCATCCATTAATTTATAAGTGTCCAGCAAAACAATCACTTCCAGGTCCATAAAAACTACACTGGCTTGATAAAATTTCTGGAAGAGGAAGAGGAGGTCCATAGCCCAGATATAATGTGGAGATTCCACTGTGTCCAGGAGGTTCCAAAGACTGCATTGGACTGATGGTACGGTTGGCATGTGAGTTCCTGACTCCTGTGTCAGACAAAGGCCAACTGACCAACTAGTCTCAGAGAACAGCAGAGCTTACAGGGGCCTTAAATCATGACCCATTCTTATCTCGTTTGAGGGAGGGAGCAGCTAGGTCTGGGTAGGACCTTGCCAGTTGGTGGCAAAGACAACACTAGAGCCTCATTTCCCCATCTATTCTTCACGTTGGTTATTCTGACTCCAAAACAAAAATACTTCTGAAAACGTGAAGATTGCTAACTATCTAGTTTTTAGAATGATCTAAAATCCCAGGTTAAATTATGTTCCACTTTGTTTTAGCTACTGAGTCCTTGGGAATAAAGGCTAACTTGTATTCATACTCAGGAACTTCATTTGCCTACCTACTGGCCTCACTATATCTCTTCAAATGCCCATATGTGCAAAATGAGAATGCTGATAAATCAGTTAATCCCATGTTAGGACTGAGGTGCTTTCCAAATGCTGTCACTTTCTCTTGGTTGTACCTGAAGGACCTCATCAGAGAATTTTCTGCAAGTTCTTTGACTGTGGCTGAACCAAGAATACCTTTGAGTTCTCTTGAGATGACTGTCAAAGTCAAATTGAGTTTTGGTCAAGAATGCATTCAGCCAGGATGGAAACACTATGTCGCTGTAGGACCTTTGAGGGTATGAATTGGTTTCAAGTCTTGTTCATGGGGTAGGTTCAGAAAGTGGCTGAGCTAGCAGAGAGTAATTTGCAAAGAATTGACTCTTTAGGGAGCCATCTGCAGAATCAGGTAAGAAACTGGCACCAGCTGCTGTCTGAAACCCTTCCCAGTGCAGTGACAGGCAAAAAACACATTGACGCCCTCAGGGTTTCAATAATAGGCCCTGTTGTGGGCTGGTATCAGCTCTACAACTGTGAAATGTTTTGTGATAAGGGATTAGACTGCTGGATTTGGGTGGTAGGTTTGCAAATCACTAGAATATCAGAAGAGAAACATACTGTGTTTATATATGTAAAAAAAGTAACCCTAGTTATATGGATCCTAAGTTGTCAAGATTCATGCAGGGATTTCCTACAGTATCATAGTTCAAGTTGTAGAATCTGGCCTGTCTCTTAGAGTCTATGTAAGAAATGCAGCAGCTCCTACAAGAACTTCTTTGGGGCTACTACACGAACTCAGGACTCATCTTTTACCATTTATTTTCACAGTAACATATGTATGAAGCAATGCAAGTTATGATCTGGTGCCTCTTCCAAAGAAACACATTATAAAAGCAAGACAAGTAGACAAATTAAACAGAAACACAAAAGCAAACGAGGGGACCTCGTGATCATTTCAATAAGGCACACTGTCATGTCTAGTTTTCCTATTCTCCTTCCTCCATACCCTAAAATTCACATGCTTTGGTGGCCAGAGAGTAGAGGTGTGACTATAAAATAATAATCTTGATTTTCAAGATTATTAGAATCATGGAACTAGCTACACACATCTTATCTGAATCCTTCTCTATAGCTTATTTTTAAGTAAGTTCCATGCCCAATGTGGAGCCTGATGTGGGGCCTGAACTCATGACCCTGAGATCAAGACTTGAGCTGAGATGGAGGGTCAGATGCCTAACCAACTGAGCCACCCAGGTGCCCCACAGCCTCTTTTATATAAAACTCATAAGCAAAGGAAAGAGGGACTGGCTGAAGCAAGTTTTGTAAGAGAATCAAGACAGAATTCCAAGAAGAAATCTACATTTTCTGATGTCATGACATTCACCATAATACATCAGACCCAAAGGCTCAGAATCTAGCCAATGAACAACCCTCTTGATCCTGGAGAAGATATAATATGGGCCAACTGCACAAATCAGCATTCAAAACCCACTAGATCTGATTTTAAAATACTGTATTTTATATTTGAAAGACATGTGAAAATTCAAAATAATTTCCTAATATCCAAGAATCGCAAAGCTGGGGACAGTCATTCCTGATTGGGGAAAGGGAACACTGCCTTCAGTAAAGCCAAAAGTAATGTTTGTAATCTCACTGGTAAACCATTTAGATTTCAAATAACAATGAACTCTGAGCTCACCTGAGGCATACCTTCCTCTGAAACTTTGCTGTTAAGAAGAGCTTTCTAGGACAACACACTGTGTGATTTCCCTCACTTGGGAAAAGGAAAGTCACATATTAGCCAGATGTATGTTTTCTATGTTCATCCTTTTTAATAAAATGGATTATTTCAAGGGCTTTTGGAGGCAGCCCACAGGCATTGTCAAGGGAGAAGCATGTCCCTGGGCCATGAGGAAGGAGTCCTTTTGCTGGTGGCCAATCCCCCAGGAGTGAGTCCAGCCTTTCCCAGGGCTTAAGAGGGATCCACGCAAGGTGGCCTGCTGAAGTGTGTGCTTCCTGGCACTAATAAACACTAACACTGAAGGAGCATCCTAGACATGCTTCTATTGTTCAACTGTGGGAGGACACTTGGTTAGAACTTTTGTACATATGTGAGTGAAGAGTTTTCTCACTGCCTGAGGCCAGAGAATGGCAGTGACCAGCCCTGGATAGACCATTCCTAGTTGTATAGCGGTGGCAGCAGTGGTCGAGTGAGCTTAGAGAAAGAAAGATTTTGCACAGAGAGACAAAGAAGCGCCACGTCTCTGGACGGCAAAGGCTCATGCGTGGTGATTAAGTGAGAAGCCAAGCACTGTGCGGGTGCCCACCAGACTCACAGATGTGCAGCTCTGTCGTGACCAACCTGCTGTGACCCTGCATGTCCCCTAGCTCCTTCTGCAGCCGGGCATTCTTCTCCTCTTCCTCTAGCAGCCTCCTCTTCACAGTGCGCAGCTCCTGCTGAGCCTCACACTTGATGTCATTGGCCACCACCACCGCAGTCTGCAGGTCTGCCTGGAACCGTCTCCATTCCTCGGTCTCCTCCTGAAAAACGCCAGAAGCCATGCCTATGTCAGATGCTGGCCAGGGACTGGCATGTAGGAAGGGACTCCAGGGTCCCCCACTGCCCCATGTCAGTCAGTGGGGAAGACTGGCCAAGCAGTACTTAGGGAGCACTGATTCAATGCTGTCCCAACCAGGGAAAGACCCAGCACAGATGGAAGGACACTTTTACGCTATCAGAGTTCACCCTGACACTAAAGCTCCTTTGTTTCTTGCAAACACTCCTCTGTGATTCCAGGGCCCATACGAGGGGAACATACTTAGAAACCAGCCTAGAAGAATCATCAGGATATTTTGCAAAGGTTTCCCAACCTAAGGTGGAGGGGCACTCTTAGCAAAATGATGGAGAAGGTTCCCTGTCCCCTGCCGGAGACACACCTCACCTTTATCTGCTTAGTCAGAGTCTTTAGCTGCCTTTCCAGGTCTGACTTCTGTTCCTCCAGCTTCATCACATTGCCTGGAAATAAACAAGTCAGACAGGAGTCGGAAAAGTTGCAAGACTCTTGGGAGAAAGTAAGCTAGGCAGCAAGAGAGCAGCTCCAGATTTAAAATCTGTCTTCTACTATAAATTCCATCCTTAGCACCCTGAAAACTCGCAACTAGAAACCAGAGGTTCTTCCACACAGAAAATGGGATGGTCTGGAAGAAAAGTGGTGTTAAGTTAGGCCATACCCTCAGATGGCAGGTGCCACAGCCATGCAGCACCAAGGGAAGAGATCTAAATAGCCACTCATGTTTATTACACTAACTCCTGGCCTCCCTGCTGGTTGCACATTATCATCCTGAATGTCATTTATCACTGCGAGGTAGAGAGCTTTTGTGTAACAGAGAACTGACTGGTTATTACTACGGTGACTTTTAGACCAGTAGCTGGAGTCACAGTTCTTAACCATAGTTAAGTCTCAAATCACCTGGGAAGCCTCTTGAAAGCACATGTGTTCAAAGCCACTGCCCACAGAGACGGAACACCCATGGGGAGCCAGTATCTAGGGTGGGTGTATGTTACAGCTCCCAAGGTGACCTGACCCCTTTCCCTGATGAAGAACATCCTCAGTCCCCTTCTCTCTGCTTTTGATTCTTCCATGTTGCTACCAGAGTCATTTCAATTTAAATCTGATTGTGTCCTTTAACTAGTTAAAATTCTTCACTGGTTCTTCATGGACAGTAGTTGTCTATTAAGGATACGAATCAGAATTATCAGAGAAGCTTCAAGAAGAATTAACAACACACGGTCAGGCAGGTCCCTGCCTGGCTATTCTAATTTAGCACCTGGGCCTGAGAATCTGTGTTTGGGACCAATGCTGCAGAATAAGAAAATACTCCTCAACTTCTTTTTATTTTCTGTCCATTTCTCTCAAAGGTCTCATAGGGAGGAGCAACTAGTCTCAGGCTGGATTTGTCCCTGGGTCTCCTAGTGAAAAGATATCTTAGTAATACCTTAATATCCCGAGCCAAAGTTAAAAAGCTTCTCAAAAGACACACGGTCTATGTTATTTTCAATCTTGGATATGTTATGATACAACTGATATGTTATGATACAACCGTAAGGAAAGGTCTGACGTCTGCTCTGGACATGAATTATAAGCTGGCTTTCTGGGCGGGTTTGTTTTAAGGATTTGGGGACAACACAACCAAATTGTGAAGAGCAATGTATCACAGAAACAAAGCGAAGCCAGACTTCTCTGACTTTATACACTCTTGAGTCTGGTGCTGGGTTTGGAAATACACACTGACAACGGATGGCAGTCATTGTTGGTTATCTCCTCGAGTGTAATTACTGAGAACAGTCTGAATGATGTTGACACTGAATGCTAAAGTTCTGTAATTTTGCTGTGTATCATGTCCAGTGAAGGATGGAACTCTGGTGCTAAGCAATTAATCAAGGTGTAGAATATACAGTCACTTCTCATTATTTATGACAGTTACATAAAGTAGCCATGCACACCAAATTTACAAATATTGAACTTTGCTCCTACAGGAAATACAGGGTTAGGTTCCTGCAAGCCTCTGATCACTTTTTCATTAAAGGAGACACTACTTGTGTTACATAGGTTCATTTGCCAGTGTCCTTGTAGCTGCAAGCCTGCTTACCCACATAACCCTTTTCCTGTGTAACACTCACTAGGTAATTTAAAAATTCTTCTGTAGCTTTCTGATTGACAAAACCTGCCTTGCCTGCAAGTTTTTGCCTTTTCTCGTGTTGTGTGGCCTTTTGAGCCCGAGAGCCAGCCAGCACCAGCTGAGAAGGGTTTAACACTTTCTGGACCCGATAAGCATGACTGTAAATTTCTTTGGCTTTCAGTTTCACAATGTGGTCCGCTACATTTTTTTTTTTTTAACCAGACATCATCTTCTGAATCTGCAAATATAGCTGCTTTTCTATCTTTTCCAGTTTCATTACGCACCACAGGTTTTCCTTCAGCATTTTCCAGAGCAGTCTCACATACAGGTTGGTGGATTTCATCTTTCTTTCTCTAGTTTTCATTACTATTGAGCTCACGGACAACAACACTAAAACTTATGCTTGAACAAAGCTTATCTAACACACATTATTTTCCCCAAAAGGTACATCACAGCATTCCAGCCATAGGGACCCCAGACAGCATTTCAGGACTACATTTGGGGGCCACTCTAAACAGTGAAATCACCAACAAAAAAGTACAAAAATGCAAAAAAACATGGCACTAAAGAACCGCGAAAAAGATATTTGTTTGCAGCATAAGAGCTAAAACAAGAAGGCAGAGGGTCACCTTGTTCACACTGAGCTGGAAATCCATTTCAGGAGACTAAAATTTTTCACTGCTCACTCTGTGTACGTCTGCAATCAACATGAAAAGTGCCATGCATATTAATTTTGGGGCTACAAATAAATTCTGGTAAGCAGGTGTTCCCAGATATGGATCCCACAAATAACAAGGATGGACTGTACTTTTAGCAATGGTTAGTGTCACTAAAAGCTCTGTGCACTAATTCTTTTGTGACAAAAGCAAAACACATTAGATGTGATAATTTGATAAAGCTTATTTGAACAAAGCAGGCAATGTTTAGCTAATCCCTTTTAATGTCTTTCCCTATTCACAGCAAACAATGAGTTCATAAAGAAGCCATATATTGGAGCCTCTTCAGTAATAAAGTGGCTGACATCTATAAGTTACTTGATATCCTGGCTTCAATAGGGCACATGCTAGAACTGTTTTCTCCCTGCACCCAAGGGCACACGTTGTTCAAATCCATCCGACCATCTGTCACCCACCTTCCTATCCATCAGATGCAAGAGACAATGCTCTGCCAACACCCTCTGAGCAGGAGCAGCGGTGTGGCTCACACACAGTATACCGAACACTCCAAGACGTGTTCACTCTTTTTTACAATCAGCCGGTACTGCTGACTCACATTCAGCATCCTTTCCTTCACTACTGCCCTGTTTTCCAGTTACAGAGCTTAATTATCCTGCCTTTCTTGACTGCCCCTTTGTCCTATGAGACTGCAGACCACATGGAAGGAAGATTTTCCACAACATTCCCACAGACCCTCCCAGGCATTCAGTCCACATCCTGCTCACTCCTGATCCACGTCTGACCAGGGCTCTAGTTCACTTACTTTCCAGCTCACTGATGAGCTGGTTATTATGTAACTTGACAGCTCGGTGCTGTTCCACTTGATCTTCTAATTCGAATATGGTTTCCTTCATGTCTTTAATCTCCGCGTCACTCTCGGATGCTTTCTCTTGCAGTTTCAGGCTGGTTCTGCTCAGCTGTTCTGCTTGATGATCACATAGGTCCTTCAGGTAAGAATAATCCTTTTCTACCTGGAATGAAAGGAAGATTCCTGGTCAGCTTCACAGGGAAAAGTTCCTCACACATCAGTGTCAGGCTCATCCATGCAACACCAGAGGAAGCTCTCGGCATGTGCTGTACCTGGTATCATTTCTGTATTCTTAGCAAGGCTATACATATATAGAGAAACGTGATGTCTGCAAATGGCCAAATGGGCGGCTTCGGTGTCCCTTCCCACATCCGTGGGTAGCTAAGTGCCCTTCTGTCCTGCAGCTGAGTAGGACAGTGCTTCCCTAGGGGGCTCTGGTACTACACCAAAAGAGCTGGCCCTGTGGCTGGCGGGAGGCTGCCCTCCTCACATGTGCTATGGAGCAGCGTCCTCTGCTGGTGATCCAGGAACAATGCCTCCAAGACCCAAGCGATCCCCTGCAAACTCCCAATCTCTTCAGCCCATAAAATACTCGCAGTTACAGTGTTTCTTTAAAGAAATACGACATTAACTTAACTTGATGGAGAACACCAGCTGAAGGCACAGGCAGACACACTGGCACCAGGGCAGGGCAGGCAGGCACTCGTTTCACCTTTTCAATTCTTAATCAGTGAATATTTTAAATACTACAGAAAAGCACCCAGAGGGACAAAGTAACCAGGTGCCTAAACAGACTTAACAATTAATTATATTTTGCCACATTTGCTAAATATTTTTCCTTTAACAAGATTTAGTAAAATCCTAACCTTCTCTCCCACCCTAGAGAGTAATCTGCATTATCCTAAAAGTGGTGCATGGTTGTTGCTTGGTTTTTCACTTTTACTACATATAAATGTGCCTATGTTAATATTGTTCTGTTTTTAAAAGAATTTTTTTAAGATTTTATTTTTATGTAATCTCTGTACCCAACATGGGGACAGAACTCACCAACCCAAGATCAAGTGCCACATGTTCCGTGGACAGAGCCAGCCAGGCACCCCGTTTTAAGATTTTTATACAAACCACATTACACTATAACATGCTTTTGCAGTGTACTGTGTTACAGCTCATTGTATTATATGGTAATATGCTTTTGTCCTGTCCTGTACTAATTATGCTTTTGTAAAACTTATTTTTAACCACATTTTTGAGATGTATCCACATTGATAGCCACAATGCTCTGCCATTACTTTACGTTTTTCATGGTATTCTGCTGTCAGAACATACTATTTTAGAATGAACTATGCCCCTTTTTTATAGTCCTTTAATTAATGTTGCCAAGTAGCTACATATTTACCAATTAATGTAAGCCTGGTATATAGGAGGTTACTTTCTAGACTTGGGGGGCATCTTCGTAAACAATATTTTTTTTTTTTTTTACCATTGCATCTCACGTGTAAAGTCTGTGGCTGTAAGCTCTAGGCGGGCGGAGACCCTGTTGGCTCTCTTCACCAGTGTATACCCTGGTGTGTACACAGCATCAGACACATGTGGAACACCTAGTGAACATCTGGTGAATGCATGAACAGACACTGGACAGCAGGACTGCACTGTTTTTCAATTGGGACCCTGTAACAAGGAATAAATAAACAAGGAAGGAAAGGAGAAAGGAGGTGAATGAGAGAACCAGCATGGGAAAGAACCAGAGCACGCTAACTACCTTAACGTGAGCACTGTTCTGTGAAACCTGCATTTCAATTATAAAGCTGTGTGGCTCCGAACTGCATTGGAAAATGTGTCATTGTAGCTGCTGTGGCACCTCTGGGTGGCTAACCTGGAGCCAGACTGCCAGAGTTTAAATCCCAATTCTGCCCACCTAAGCCCTGTGGTGCTTTAATCTGTCTCGGTTTCCTCATCTGAACAATTACATGAAATGATGCACATACAGCATGTATCACAGTGCCTGGCATGTGGTAAGCGCCCAACAGAAGTTGCCATTTCTCTCATAACTGCCTTTATGTCTTGGGGTAACTGCCTTATATCTTGGGGTATGCAACATTAGAGGATACTGTAACACAGGTCCAAGAAGACTACAACACATGAACCAGACCAAAAGTCTTTTACCTGACAATAGCGATATAATAAACACTAGGTGACTTTTAGGGGAGAAAAGAGGCCCTGTGTTTTAAGTATAAGAGGGCTGACGTCCAACCACCGCTTCAGCAGAGCAGTAGAGGAGTAGGACCATGGCTTTCTGCAGAGCTGGCCCCAGGCTCCATGTCAGGGAACCCTCAAGCTCAGGGCCACTCACCTGGCATCGAGAAACACGCATGTTACTTGGGTGGGACTCCTGTGGGTCAGGAGTGAAACTGGGATGGTGTAGCCAGGGAAGCAAAGGGTTGAGCATCCTCAGCCTAAGTGGGAGGGTGAGGTGGGGGTCCTCCACGTGCAGCTGAGGCTTCTGGCCTCTCACGGGCCTGGACCCACCTTTATGTCCTACAAGTGGGCTGGTCATCATCACAAGCACCCAGCAGTAAGCAAAGTGGTGGGAGGAGCTGCTGTAAGATGTGCTGTGGTCTGTTGGGGCCCGCGAAGCTGTAAGTCAGTCTACAGTTTCAAATCACACATCTCATTCTTCTTGCCTGATTTGGGAATAATTCTCTCAAGTTGAGCAATATATTCCAGAAGGCTCTTTGGTTAAAATCGCCACCACCACCACCACCACCAAAAACCCTTAAGTAACTTCACAACTTCTTTCTACAGGAGCTGGCTGGGTTGTAACAGGCAGGTCTCTTTATATTCATTTTATAGCTTAACCAGTGGAGAGAGGGAGAAGGTAAGCCACTGGAAAAGAACAATCCCATTTATCAGGTAGCAAGGGCCAGCAGCATGTATTTCCATGACCCTATAGGATGCCGTCCCCGTGTCTGGCCTTCCCGCTGGCCAGTTCTTCTGAGTCTGGCTCCTCTGGTTCAAGGACTGAGCTATCATACAACCAGCACTGTGCTTTCCAATGTCTCCTGTTCGAAAAAGAAATCACTTTCATACATTCCAAGGACGATCTCTCGTCTTCTATAATCAACGTTCTTTAGAACCAGGGCGTGCAGAATTTTATTACCAACAGAGTTGGATGAATTTCCCTAGGGAGCCATGGGGAGCCCTAGTCCTTCCCGGAGAGGGATGGATAGTTGGTGGTTGGAGACAGTCCTTGAGCTGTGACAATGGCCAGAGGCAGATGGCAGCAGAGACCACTCGCAACTCCCCAGAGGGTTCGGTCTGCTCTCCTGCCCTCCAAGACACGGGATGCACAGACAGGCAGGGCTGCCCTGAGAGAGACATGGCTTGTCAGATGCTGAAATTGAGCAAAACCTATCGTCGAGGGTCTGCACCCCCAGCGACTAGAAACTACTCCTGTCTCTTCCAGGGTCAGGCCAACCTTTCTGGCCTGAGAATTTGCCCTTCTCTTCCTGCCACATTCCTGCCATTTCCACCCCACTGCAACACCCCCCCCCCTTACCTCCTGCTCCCTTCAAGACTAAGGTTGTAAATCAAACAAAAGGACGTGTCTTGATGACTCAGGTTTTCACTGTGAATTTCTCTACTGTGTTCAAATTAAGCAAAATTCTCCTAATTCCCTGAGACTTGAAAGGTTGTTTTCTTCCAACCAAAAGCCTTTGGCCTGAAGACCCTATATATCCATGTTAGAGTCCTTAGGTCTGCTCCAAATGTTTCTCTATCTCTTCTTCATTGCCATGGAACCAGAAAGCAGCACAATTCAGTGATGAGGAGTTAAGAGTTCTGGGGTCAAGGACCCCTGGGTGGCTCAGCGGTTTAGCGCCTGCCTTTAGCCCAGGGCGTGATCCTGGAGATCCAGGATCGAGTCCTACATCAGGCTCCCTGCGTGGAGCCTGCTTCTCCCTCTGCCTGTGTCTCTGCCTCTCTCTCTCTATGTCTCTCATGAATAAATAAAATCTTTAAAAAAAAAAAAAGAAAGAAAATAAAATCATAAGGAAGAGGGGCATCTGGGTGGCTCAGTGGTTGGGCATCTGCCTTTGGCTCAGGGCATGATCCCAGGGTCTGGGGATCCAGTCCCGCATCAGGCTCCCCGCAGGAAGCCTGCTTCTCCCTCTGTGTCTCTACCTTCTCTCCCTGTGTCTCTCATGAATAAATAAACAAAATCTTTTAAAAAATCGTAAGTAAGAGAAAATATGTTTACAGTACTATACTTTCTGGAAAAAAACCCACATATATGAGGGTTCAAGAGTCGGCTGCATGTAATACTAAAGTAAATAAACTTGGAATGATTGCTTGAGTAACTTTACCATGAGTAAGAATGTGTTATTTTTGTTGTGTTTGTTTTTACACCTGAGTTGGTTCCTCCAAAACTCCTTTTGCTTAATTCCTGGCCCTGTTCTGAATACGTACTGCTGGTGGAGAGCCATGTTTCATTCATGCTGGCCAAAGCTTTTTTTTTTTTTTTTTTTTGGGCAATGTTGCTCTGCCAAGGGAGAGGAGAACATGCTAATTTAGTTTACACTTTTGTTATGGAAAAAGAAGAATAGCTATAAAACACTGAAAGCAGAGGGTACAAGTCTGTATTTCACTTTGGGAATTTTCTAGATTTTTCAGATGAGTGTTCATGGAGGGGCTTCCCGGTGTTCACCCAGGACAGGCAAACGCTGGGGCTTCCGAGACAAGTCCTAAGTCCAAGTTAAGGGAAGAGCTGTGGTCAGGCCTAACCTTGGGGAAAGAAAGATATTAACAAGTCTAAAAGGAGAAATGGGCCGCTCACAAGGGAAGGGGGTGGGGGGACCAGCCCAGGAAATACAGCAAGGGAGAGACCATGCTGGGTCCATGGAAGAAGGAGCACCCCCTCCTCCAAGTTACATGGAGGCACAGGGAGCAGGGCAACAGATACTGGGGGTCTGGTTCCACTGCAAGAGCAACCTTACCCAAACATAGGCTGTTTCTGCCAGACTCTCAGGTTCAGCTCCCATCCTGACCCCCCATCTCCCACTCCATGCATAAGGTTGCAAGAGCAGAGCCCTAAGGGGGTAAGGGCTGGGAAGTGGAGGGAGCTGCCAGTCACAGCCACATGTGACTGCTGTGTGTCCTGGGCCACAT